AAAAAACCTGCAGCGAAATGAAGACTAAATCTAAGAATTTTCCACAATTCTGCATTAGCTTAATGTTTAAGACAAAATGGCCTTAATTGCTAAGATTAGGAGAAACTTTGGACCTCAGAATTTACTACTATATCATTTGTTCTTGAGTAATTATTGCTTGTCATTACTTTCCAAGTTCACAGCAGTTCTGGAACTACAGTAAGTGGTTTTAAGCATTTCTATCTTTACTTATTTTTTATGTTTCGTGCTCAGCATAGATTCAATTCTTTTTGACTGATTTATAAAGGAGTTTTTCTCCCACATATTGATTTCTCTCTGTTCTCTCATCTTGCTTGAGGCTTGTTAATGTAACATTCATATCCTCTAACTCCATGTTTGCATTCCAAGCTAAATAACATAACATGTTCGCATACATGCAATGATCATTGCGTTACTTACCATTTTAAATGCCTGTACTGTATCTGCTTTCTTGAGTGAAAACTAGTTCAGCTCTGCTTGTGGCTGGTTGTGCATAAAGTATGACCGCCAAGTCTCAAATAATAATAATAATCCTTAAATTTGATATTGAGCCTTATCTCGTCATTGAGACGTCTTAAAAGTGCTTCACAGAATATACTGTAAAGGGAATTGACTGTATATTTTGTGGGCGAAACCCAGCAGCCAATTGCATACAACAGTGTCCCACAAACAATCATGAATTGATTGACCAATATATTATTAGTAGTATTTATTCATTTTGAAGGGATTATTATCTATTAATTGTCTAACAACCGTGTTCCTACTTACTGCTAGGTAAACCGAGGCGTGTGGAATAAGGATTATTAACATTCCCATGGCACTATATAAAATGAAAAGGGAGTTCCTTCTAATGTCCTTGGCCATCAGTCTTCCATATAAATTGGTCATTCACCTCATGGCTGTTTGTGAGACCTGACCCAGCGCATACTGGCTGCTATGTATATCTACAAAAAAAGTGAAGCTACTTGACAATGATTACTGTAAAGCATTTGAGACTTTCGTCATTTAAGGTACTATAACAGCTTCACACTATCTTATAAGAATGCATTTGACGTTCAACTTACTTGGAAAGTCTTTTAAAGTAGATACTCAAACACTAAAAGGGCAATAAACTGCAATAAAACTAAATATAGTTGAGGAATTATGTCTTCGGGTGTGCAAATGTAAATACTGAAGTACAGATGTAAATCATTGAACCATATAAGAAGTGTTTGGCAGAGGCTTAATTCTACTGCAATAGAATCCAACTATAAGACCTTTGTCATCTCTAAAATATGCAATTCCTACCAGCAATTTTCTTCAGAAAGGGAGGAGGCATATGCTGTATGTGATATTATCACCGGTGATAATCATCGTACCAACCAGTGTAAGGTCAGAAACAGCAGGTAATAGTTCTCACTGGCCTTGGAGTGAAACATAATCCCCCCTACCCCCAACTCAGCCCAGGGATAACCATTCACTGCTTTTGACTGTATTTTTTGGTCAATGTGATAGCTATCATACGCTGGATGGACTCTGCCCTTCCCTATTGTCTCCTGTTTAAATTCATTGAGCACATCAAAGATTGTTCCTACATTTACTGAACAATGTTTTTCCCTAATGTTGTTCGCATTGGGTCCTCCTGCTGCCCTCACCTGGTACATTCATGACACTGATAGCCTGCAACATTCAGCAACAGCCTGTTGGTATTCCATGTGAGCACTTAATCTGACTATCTGGCCTGGTTGTTCATTCTCACATTTTCCCATTGGAAAGCTAATTCTAAGAATGCAGGAATGTACGTCAAGAGTAGATCATTCAGCCGATTGAGTCTGTTCCAAAATTTGTTTTGTTCAACTCCCCTAGAGGTGTACCTTATTCAGATATATACTACATTGAGCAAAATTTGCAAATCAATCTGTGTGGGTTGAGGTATGGCCCTTTGCATCTTGATCTCAACACTCTACTTTGTCTCCTTGATGGTTCACTGCCTGGTGTTGAATTCAGCCTTACTGACCAGGGTGTTTGGGGTTCAATTCCTAGTACAGTATATGTTGATGTTGCTGATCTCAGTTGGGGTAACATCAAGGATGCTACAAATGGTTTCAGCAATCCTGGAGGCCGAGGAGTAACCCAGAACAATACTTTCATATACATCAAGACAGTAAGACAAGAGAGTACAGGTGTGTACAATGTGAAACTTAATTTCAGGACACACACCAGGAAGCCTTTCCTTACACATAGGATAATTAATGACAAGAATGATTAACGATAAAGGGTGGTTGGATCCAGGACACTGGACTCATTTAAGAAACAATTTGATGTTATAAACAGAGAGTGGATATTCTGTGTAAGGGATGAGATCAAATGAACCGAAAGACCTTTCTCGTGCAAACTTCACGTGTGATCTTATTTCTGCTTCTTAGTGTTATCCAATGATTCCCATCACATGGTCAAATAGTTATCTGGCATTCTTTGTCTTGACTCACATATAAGAATGTCCATTTAACAAGGTACTAGAGGCAACGTGGTGCCTTCACAAACTGTGTTGAAGAATGAGTCACTCACATCAGGGAGCAGGGATGGGCATTGTACAATAACAACAACTTGAATTTATATAGTACCCTTCACGCGGGCAACGTCTCAGAATGCTTATTGTATTTCTCTGAGGACTCCTATTTTATTGTCTGTAAAGATATAGAGTGTAACTTTGTCCCCTATCTGATCCTAACATGTATCACCCCCCAAAATGCTAACTATTTGAGTCTTCTCTTTGTCTGCAATACATTAAATACATAAGAATGAATTGACAAGGTTAATTAGCAGGGTTGACCCAGCTTATAATCTTGTCTCTATGCAGTATTCACCTTCATACCACAGGACGTTTTTTCCGCTCAAATGCAACCTAGGTCAAACCTGTTGCCTGTCCAAAAGTTACCTTCCACATGTAGCATCTTTGGAAAAGGAAATGAAAGACATATAAAAACATAACTCAAATTTTGCTAAACCCCTTGTGATGCAAACACTTTGTAATTCTTGGCCTTGGTCGGCTAAGATAGTTATGTTACCAGGATAAGAGTCTAAAACCCAAACTAAATAAGAAGCAAAAAGGGTTCTTTCATTCCACAGGATTCTATTGTAGATCTACAGAGCCTCCTGCTGACTTCTGGCAATATGCAGTATCACTAGACTGATTTGGAGATAACATTTTCAAATGTATTTTCATATTTCAACATGCAATTATCAAAAGACAATGTTTACATGAAATAATGGATATTTCATTTCTTTGCTCCATTTTCTTTCCTTCTCTTCAGTTTTCTCGTCTGCAAACCATTCCTGACAGAGAGTACAGCAATATGATCTGCTTCTGAGTTCTAAATAATAATAATCCTTGCAAGACCGAGCCTCTCCTGATTGGCTCCCTTTCACGCCTCCTCACCTTAGGCACTAACAGCATCACCATCCATGGTTATAACGTCAAAACTCTCTTTCGCTTTTTGAATAATGTAAGGGCAACCTTAACGTCTATTGAACAGGAAGAAGGGACTATGGTTTAACATCTCAACTGAACTACGCCATCTTTGATAATGCAAAGCTCCCCCAGTACTGGATTGGAGGTTAGCACATTACCATGAGCTCAAAGGCCCCAGAGAGGGCTTGTGCCCAAAACATTCTGATCTAGGCAGGGTTGGCTGCTTGATATTGCTCTGCTCAGTGGCACATAGGAGATTTAACATATGCAGCGTATACGAACATTCCCAAAACAGACAGTCACTCCACTTTACAATACATCCTGTGAAACGCTTTGAGATGTCTCAACAACATGATAAAATGTGGTATCAATTGCAAAAATTATTAGTGTTATTATTTATTATTCCAATGAAGGTGAGGTGGTGTCTGACCTCCTACTATATATTTAAAGCCTAAGTTAGACACACCTATCTACATCTTTTTTTTCTCTCCTGCTCTTCTCGCTACACTATGGGACTAAGCTCTTGAATATAAAACAAACATATAATAATAATATTAATAATAATAATCATCTTTGCATGTAATATAGCATCTTTCAGGTCGGATGTACTTCTCAAAGTGTTTCACAGGATATACTATAAATCGTAGTGAATGTGCGTTTTTGTAGGTGAAATGCCTACATTCTCATTAGTTATCAGTTGATCATATATATCTGATTTAGCGCTTTACAAAATATACTGTAAAGTGAATTGACTGTATATTTGTGGGCGAAACGCGGCAGCCAATTGCACACAGCAGTGTCCCACAAACAGTTGTGAATTGAAGGGTCCAATTTATTATTGTTTTTTTTCTTGATGGATTATTATTATGAGGACAGGAATTATCAAGTGATAATTCCTATAATACACAAGGGGGTGAAATTATCAGGGTGAGGGAGTAAGTGAGTAAAGTCTCATATTGAGATTTTTTAATGTATGCAGTGCATATGATTATTCCAAAGAGGGGAGCTGGAGAGAAGAGGGGCATGATAGCATTCTTAATAGAATTGTCGGATGGGGCAGAAACATGCTGGCTTGTGGGGACAAATGCAAGATGTTATTTTATGATCAGTGATAATTATCTCATAATAAGCACATCTAAACCCCCTCTCAAGTCAAGCCATGAACAGTCAGTGAGGACAAACATCATTAGCCCATAGGTAGTTGTGAAGGAAATAAAACGGTGAAGCAAAACATGAAGAACAGACTGAGTGACAGGATAGGGTTCTAACATAGAGTAACAACAGATAATTAAGAAGCTGTTCCCCCACGGATTACAGCAGCTATATCAGCAGGCTCACCACTAATGGTGGACATTTAAAGCCCTGTGCAATTTAAATAGAGATGAGGGCTAGATGCAGAGCCATACTCTCTGTAAATAATTAATGTACAACAGGGTCATGTGCTCCTTGTAACTGTTTAAAGAGACCTTATCACAGAGGTCTTCATCATAGAGCGGGAGAACAGCCAAACCATGTCGCACATAGCAACACAATGACGTTTGAGAGGCCCAGTTTAATGTAAGCTAAAGCATCACGTTACTGTATTTGACCTACAAATAACAGAAAACGTTCGCTCAGCCAACTGTTTATCAAAAAACTTCCATCTCTTTACAAAGTCATGAAACTGGACTGCAAAAAAGTATTTTGCTATCAACAAACTCTGAGCACATGCGCATGCAAATAAATTCAGAAAATGGGTTACAAACACTTTGATACAAATTTTTTACATAACCTTTTCTTTTTATACTTCACAGAAATTTCAGTGCATTGTGCGAAACAACACATTTAACAGGAATTATCTGATTTTGTAAAATAGTTTGTGAATCTGCTTTTATAAATCCCAGAATCATTTCAATAACAGATACAAATATGTGGTTTAAAATCTAATCATTTGTAATGTACCAATTCCAAAGATAGCTAGAGGAACAGAACCCCCTCCCCAACATCGGTCTGAATGTCAAATGCCCTTGATTTAAATGTAGTAAATGATAATGGAGTGTCAGCCTAGTCCAGGAGCCTAGTCACCCGTCTGTTATTGTCAAACAGGGGCATGAAAACATTGCTCCCCCCTATTAGTGAGGGGGCATTGCTACTTTTGGTGAGCCTTCAGTCACTATGCTCCGATCTTCTCAAACTTCCTCCCTCTACCCTATCCGCTTCGCCACTTCTCTATTTCTCGTCAAGTCTCTCTTCAACCACGCCTACGGTCACCTCCACCTCTTCCTATTTCAACCTAGCTCCTCTTTATCATTGTATGCCATGTATACATATATATTCTCTGCAATATGTAAACTCTGGGTTGCAAACTGTTCTGCATGAATGAAAATTTCCATCATTTTTTCTATCCCTGCTAAATAAACCCCTTTCACCAAACATTCACTGTTTATCAAAAGATCAAATTTAAAGATACAAAAAAATCTTACCAAATCAGACCCAGATGCTGAGACATCTTTCTTCACTTACTTCACACCACATGTATGACTAAAGTGGTTGAAATGACTGTAATTACGACAATAGCTGAAACATAACAGAATTATTATTCCTGAGACCTAGTATTTGGTCATTTGAGGCAGTCAATACAACTCAATCATCTTATAATTTAAAATTATACTGAATTGGGGAAAAAATGTTAAATTCTGTCTTAATTTGGAATCTGGTTCTTTCAAAAGGATTGCGATAAACTGGTTTCCAAATTCAGGCTGACCTTAAGAGGTTTCCATAATTCTGTGCAATTCTTGCATTTTTGAGACAAAATGGTTTCGCGAACGATGATCTCCAGAAAGCAGGGGCTATTTTCATATGGTACCATATTTTCCTTCAAGCCATTCCGCATTCACAAGCGTGGACACTGAACGTGACAAGTACCACCTCTGTTTAAAGAATATTAAAGGTCCCTGCAGGGCAGGCCCCAGCAGGGCAGGCCCCTGCAGGGCAGGCCATGGCAGTACGCTGTTGTCTGAAGAAAGACCTCAGACGAATTGCTAAGGCCAGTGGAGGTAAGTGCAGCATTTTTTTTTACTAGGTTACTGTTGTGAATTATATATACTTTCAAACTAGTGATCCCCTGTCTTATTGGACTCCAGTTATCTGGAATTCCGACCTGGTTGGACGAGGCCCAAAACCAAAAACATTAATTTTATTCTGTGGGCCCAACTCCTAGCGCGGATCAATGGTGCACTGAGTAGCCTCTGTCTGTGCTGACATTCATAGTGGCTAGTGATACTGACTGACTCAGATTGTTTGAATCCAGCGAGCAGAAAATAGCTTATTCGCTATCTTCTTAGTCGAAAATTGATCTGATAACTCGTTCTGTAATATGGCATCTTGCATTACAAAGGCTTCCAGCCCGATGCTGTGATTGGTAGCGGAGGTTGAGTGCCTATGCTCAGATGCATTGCAGGGGCTAAGCCGTGGCCTCCTGCGCTGTCTTACATTTTATCGTGTGACAGGATAGGGCCAAAAGCCACGGAGCAGCTGGGAGGACCTATATCAAACTCGCTACTCCGGATAACTTATTGCTCAGCTCTTTACACTTGGAGTGACAAGCTATCGAGTTTAGTGTACAATATTAATGTCATTCAATTTTGAAAGGGTGGCATTCGGAATCAGCTGGAATTTTCCTAGTGATTCTGACGTCCTCCCGACATGAAAGGCGCTATACAAATGTAATTTTGTTGAAGTGTTAAAAGTACGTAAATCAGAAAAGGGTATCTTGGACTGAGAAACCTATTCTGATGATTTTTACCTGTTTTTGTTTATAGCAACTATCTGTTCAACACTTGCAAACTTGGAAGGAGATGAGAGATTTGATCCGTCTTTAGTGGGCCAGGCTGAGGAGGTGGTTCAAGAAAGGATATGCGATGATGAACTGATACTTGTTAAAAAGTAAGAAAAACATGTACAACTTACTGAACTCCCATTTATTTGCTGCCCTGCTAATATCTGTGGCATGAGCAGTTGTACGCTTGGGATAGAGAATATTCAGCCTTGTGTGACTGAAGACCTTGCTGATGTCTTCTCAGTAATGCATTAGCTGAACATAAAAAATTATCTCCAATGTATACAGTGTAGTATCTTGTAATGCTACTGTTAATGTTGCAGAATTGAAAAAGATGTTGGGATTGTAATTGTGTTGAATTTTTTTTATATTGACTGCACAGATGCAGATTAAATTTGTTGTGCATATAAATATAATCCAAGCAGTTTCCTGATGAAAGTAGAACTGTCACATCTATTCCTGGTTTAAGTCGGCAATGAATATTGTTTTGCATAACAGTATATAATCAATAGGTATTGTTCATTCAGGAGCAGTGCACACAAAGTTTGTGATTGAAAAAGGGATCTAGATTCTGATTTCTAAAAGTGAGGTATAAATTGATGCTGACATTTTAAAATGAGTTTAACCCAACCCTCACAAGTACTATTGTTGTAAAGTTTATCTGATGTATGGATTTTTTTAAATTTGTATTTTTCAGTACAAAGGCCCGTACTTCTGCATCAATCATTCTGCGAGGAGCAAATGCTTTCATGTGTGATGAGATGGAGCGCTCCCTACACCTACATTTCATTGGAATCAGGCTGTAACCTCTAAAATAAAAGCTCAATTTTATCCAGTCAGTAGCTTAGCTGCAGAGTATCTTCAGTTCTTGTAGTAAAATTTAGGTGTAATTTATTGCCTTTCAACACACATAGCTATTCCCATTCCACCTCCTATACACAAAGAAGCAATGCCACGCTTTTTTCCTGTTCTCTCCAGTGCGTAGAGAAGTGTAACCAGAATGCGGCACCCAGACATTCCCAGAGGGTGACCTAAAGCAATAGCACCACCTTGGATGTTTACCTAGAAAGACAAACACAAAAAATGCATTTTTTTAAAAAAGAGGGAAAACCTTTTCCCTAATTTTCTCCTTACTCCACTGGCCTGCTTCAGGTCCCCTGCCTATCCTACCATCAGCAGTCAGGCTTTCAGCCTATCTGCTCTCACTTTGTGGAACTCCAACGAGAGCCCTATCACCTCAACTCTCCCTTACCTCCTTCAAGGTCCTCAAAACCTTCCTGTGACCGGTCACCTTCCTGGCCCCCATACCTCCTAAATCCAACCCCAGCTTGGATGCAAACCCTCGACTGCAGTGGCTTGGGACATCCTCCCGACATGAAAGGCGCTTTATAAATGCAATTTGTTGTTTTATTACATCCCACATTGACCCATTGGGTGAATCAGGAAGTAAAAAGGATCAATTGCATTTAGTTGTAGTGCCAATTTTTATATCTACATTTCTCACCTTCTCTGGGTTTATACCCAGTTCCTTGACAACAGCTACAGACTGTGATGCAAAAGCTTCATTGATTTCGAAGAGATCAACTTCATCCAGCGTCCAGCCGGCTTTTTCTACCTAGAATAAATAGTAAATCTAAGTCATTACCCTTGAATCTGAAGATGATGGAATGCGCAGTGGGTGAATCATTGGTTGAAAAGAAAACAATCTACTTGACCCTACTTCAGGGGGGACACAATTTGACCGCTCCTCAGTCAATGATATCAGCCATGTGAGGAGTGACCGAGCAGACCTTTTCCAAATGGGAAAGGGAGATACCTGGAGTTGAGCCATGACCCCAGTCTCGTCTCCTGCAGGTGCTTAAAAAACAATAGCAGAGTCCTGGGGGCAGAATAGCTGCCAATTCTCTCACTTGCAGGATAGCCCATTCCCAAAACAGGAAACACCATATAAAAGTAGAGTTGTGCTAATAAATGAACATGTCTGAGTCTGGTTAAGGCTCTATGCTGTGAAGAGGTATAAGTATTAACAATATTCTTGTATTGCTTACGGCCTTCCTTATTGCTGCTATAGGCCCGACTCCCATAATGGCAGGATCCAAACCAGCCTCGGCCCAGGATACAATCTGAGCCAAAGGTTTCGGGCATTTCTTGTCAGCTTCTGATTTCTTCATCAGAATCACAGCTGCGGCCCCGTCATTTATTCCTGCACAACAGCAAACAGAGTGTGTTGTCAGTAAAGTTACTGCCTTCTTTTCAACGACTTTATAAGCAAATTACAAAAGTGATTCTTTCTGCTGACCTGAAGCATTAGCAGCAGTGACAGTGCCAGATTTGCCCTTTGCAAAAACCGGCTTTAGTTTACACATGGCTTCGAAGGTGCTTCCGTGACGGGGAAACTCATCGGTTGGCACCTCGATAGGCCCTGAAGAGAGAGAGAGAGAGGATGATGTTAGATTATTAAGGCTCCTAATTAAAATGTAGCACTTCGAGGCTACACAATAGTACCAAATAAAATTTTAATTTCATTATAAGTGTTATACATTTAAAAACAAATGTGGCACATATGTTAGTCGAAGTGAATAATGTTGGCCTCTGTCTGGTTGAGTGCCAAATAGTTTGGAAGACATCTTGCAAGCCCATAGGGTTTAGGGCAGACTGGATGACATAAGATCACAAAAGAGGTTTGGATAAATAAAACCTTTCGGCCTATTCAATCTGAGCCTTCCAGAATATCCATGCTACCATCTCTCATTACCGCATAGTCCCTGCCCTGCAGGGACCTGCCCTGCACTCCCTCCCTTGCCTCCTTCAAGGGGCACCTTAAGACCCTACTCTTCGACCGTGCCTTCAGCCACACTCCTACCCTCTCTGCTCTCCACCCTCCCTTACCCCAATTTCTTCCCTTGCTCGGGTCCAAATTCCTGACTGTCCAATGCCTTGGGACGTCGTACCGACGTGAAAGGCAACATTGAAATGTAATTTTGTATTGTATTTTATTTACTTTATGTTTCAGGGCAGTGGTTTCCAACCTTTATGGTCGGCAAACCAAATACGTTTTTTCTTTTTTGAATTTTTCTTAATTCATGGCTATTTTCTTCATCCATGGATATCGCGGCTCAGTAGCTACTGGAAATAAGTTATTGATTTGGTGCGAAACTGCCTGGACTATTGCGGGTGATTGGTGGGACAGTTCTTGAATTTCCCCCGCGGGTTGGTGCCACTGTTTGAAGGCATGCGGATTTTGGCCAATTGTTCAATTCAGCTTCAACTTAGAAGCAAGTTTTGTGTAGTTAAAAGAACAGAAAACAGCTTAAAAATGAAAGCAACGTTTAAAAATTTGCTAACTTCTGGATGATGTCAAATGTTTCATTAATAAATCCTATGAAGCACTTTGAGACGTCCTCCTGATGTGAAAGCCGCTATAACAAATACAAAGATTATTATTATTATTTCAGAGCATCTACAATTTGGGAAATGTTTAAATGCAATCCTAATTTTTAAGTCAGTTTTCTGTAAATTCTGCAAACTACAGTGGTTGACGTACCCAAGGAACCTGGGCCATCATCACAGCAGAAAAACAGAACAACAATGAAACAAAAGATCAAATTGAAATTNAAAAACAAAAGCCCTATAAATCAATTGAAATTAAACATAGACTAACACACTTTGTAAATGATAAAAGTTTTTTCCCCCACACACTGACCTATTAAACGCCTGTTAAAATGAACCACATATCAACAGATCTCAAGACCAGCATACCTGGTTTGTTACTTGTTTGCTATTTGTTACTTGCCTCATTGTTTTTCGTCACATATAATGGGCACAGCATTCACACAAGCCAAAGTCTGTGCATCATTGACCTACATTAGTTAGATCTACTACCATCATTGAAACAAAGATATCACTAAAATCTGTCCTGTGACGTAGCCCGAATCAAATATTCCTACATTGTGTGATATCAATGTTCTTTAAAAGTGTCCGTATTAGCCTGCAGACAATGATAACTTCCCACTGGAACCCATCCAAGGAGTCATTTAAAGTGTTGCACATAAAACAATAGAATGAAAAGCCAAACTCCTTCCACACAAACTACCTGATCACCTTCCCTTCCCACTCTATCATTCTGCACACATTCCCTGATCTCTAAAGGAAAAAGCAAAACTACAGGATATTCATTCATACTTATGCCGACTAAACCCTGGTCTATTGCCCTCTTCTGTTCACTTAATATTACACAAACTAGTATAATTTCATGGACATCTCAATCTGCATTTGTTTCTTTCTCCTCTTGAAGGAAGATTTGTCTAAATGGCCCGACAAGTGTGCCAATTAAAAGTTAATGGGACTGAAATGCTCAAATAAGAAACCACAGTGTAAATGTTACGAATCTGCTTATTATCCCTAATATGGGATAGTGTTCCAAAGTGTGGGGGCAGAGAGGCAGAAAACCCGGCCACCGATGGTAGGGCGGGTCGGACGGGAGACATGGAGCAGGCCAGAGCCCGCTGAGCGGAAGGACTGGACAGGTTGATACGGGGTCAGCAGGTCAGAGATGTAAGGAGGGTGCAAGGCCGTGGAGGGCCTTGAAAGTGAGCACGAGGATTTTGAATTCTATCCTCTGAGGGATGGGGAGCCAGTGAAGCCAGGCGAGGGTGGGAGTGATGGGGTCACGGAACCTGGTGCAGGAGAGGACACGAGTTGCAGAGTTCTGGATGATCCACAGCCTGTGGAGGGAAGAGTTGGGGAGGCCGACAAGGAGGGAATTTCCGTAGTCGAGTCTTGAGGTGACGAATGCGTGAATGAGGGTTTCGGTGGCCTGAGGGGTGAGGCAGTGGCTGAGTCAGGCAATGTTGCAGAGGTGGGGGAAGAGCAGGTCATGGCATGGACATGGGGGAAGATAGCACAATTGAGGGTCGAACAAGACATCCAGATTCCTGACTAGCTTGGTGAGGTGGAGTGTGCATCTGTGGATGCTGATACCAATGCTTGAGGTGCGGAGGTGCTGGCGCAAGCCAATCAGAAGAGCGTCGGTCTTCCTGACATTCAGCTGTAGAAAGTTGGCTCTCATCCAAGACTTGATGTCTGACAGACAGTCACGTGGATCTTCCAATTTGCAAGTTTCTTATTGTCAACCCCAACTTACACTGGTTATTTTTATTACCCCTCCTGTCCTCCCAAACCTCAGCTGTATATGACATGCAGGAAACATGCCTTGAGATTGAGACAACACTGCTAAACCTTCAGTGCTGCCTGACCTTTTCACTGTTACTCTCTTTAACACTGTGCAGCCTGTCTCCTGTGTTATCCCAAGTGTGGAGTCATTTAATAGCAGAAAATGCAAATTATTCACATGGTGCAGAATTTGAAAGGGTTAAAGTCAAAAGTGCAGAAACAATTCTTAAGGTAGCATCCAAATGGTTAATGTCAGATAGCATTTGGTTCAAGCAAGATATTGAAACCCAGATTCTACATTTACTCAAGAGCTAATTCTTATCGCGCTATATCAATGCAAGTTTCTTTGTTGTGTTTTATTTGGGAACAGTGTGAAAAGGCCCAAAGACTTGAATTCAGCATGAAAGTCAGAAATGGCAATCATATTCTAACCCTTGAAGGTTTACTGGAGGTACACTGCCACATGGTGGTAGAGTCAGGCATTGCATAACTTTGAGCAACAATCTCAAAAGAGCAACATTAAATTTTCAAGCTTCACCTGACAGATGGGAAACTATTATCAGGGCAGAACAATTTCACCAGCATTACTGAATAACACTTTAAACATCATGATGCTGTCAGTCAGCAGTGACTCAGCAGTTAGTTTATTATTAATTATCTTCCTCATTTAATATAGCAATTTATCACATCACAGAAATGTCTCAAAAGCACATTATGGGATTTATTGTAAAGGGTAGTGATTGTGTATTGGTGTAGAAACACAGCAGCCAATTTGTGATCAGCGATGTTCCACCCACAGGGATGAAGCGAATGATCGCTTTATATTTGGAGGATTGTTGACCTGGACCCTGAGAGAAACTCCCTTCTCTTTTCAAAAAATTGTTAAAAACATGTGAAGTTACAGGTTTAGGTAACATTGTCACTAGCAAATGGGTCAAAACAGCCCAGACACACTTCATTAAGGTCCCTCACCAGCAGCAGAAAGAGGGGTTTGGGATGTGCATGTGTTGTGAACTGATCACCAGTGCCCTAAACAGGATTAGTGTTAATCAGGCTACGGTATAAAACACTCTGAGGTACATTATTGAAAAAAGGCATCAAGAAAAATAGTTTCTAATTACTTTATTTTTTAAATTACACTTGATATTTGCACAGCAATTCACAGGTGGCTAATGTGTTCTGCGTAGGATTTTATGGTCTACGTCTCAACACAGGATATGGCCAATACGTCAAATCAGTGATCACAAGTTAGCACAGCTGTATTTTCTGGTTAAGACTCCCAGTAACATTACTGTGATACAACATTACAGTACTATTAAATACGAATAATTTTCTGAATGAGGTTTCTTTTGTGCTGCAACCTGTCTGCTTGCCTCCCTGTAGGTGGCTGGAAGGATAAACAGATGAGTCACCCGCCTCTTGAAGCCATCGATGCCAGTGTAATTCTTTGTTCAGTTCAAAGGGATTTTCACTCGCTGTAGGGTCAGGGATACTCTTTCCTCACCTCCTTCCTCCTCCCCCCCTCCCAGCTCCTCTCAAAGTGAAACAGTTCACTGTCACAAAGCCACCTGCACTGGATCCCACTCAAGTCCTGACCGCACACAAGTACAACTGGTAGATCAATTTGGACACAATTTGTTGCCTTTTTTTTCATTTGAAAACGATTCTCTTGTAATGATTTCCGGTTGGGGTGCAGCTTACGATGCACACTCAGTGCTTCATGGTGATGGTTTTCACCTCCGTGAAAAACTCAAATGAGTCTTTGGCCCCTTCTCTGCCAACGCCTGAGGCTTTCATGCCACCAAATGGTAAATTCAGGTCTCGAATAAGCCAGCAATTGGTCCACACCATCCCAGTATGAAGCTTCTTGGCAACTCTGTGTACGCGGCCCACATCCTGTGACCACACAGTAGCAGCCAAGCCAAACTTTACATTGTTGGCTCGTTGGATGACTTCTTCTTCCGTTTCAAAGGGCACCACGCAGGTCACTGGGCCAAAGATCTCCTCCTGCATACAGCAAGAATCATCCATCATATCTGTAATTACTGTAGGCAAGAGGAAATAGCCCATTTTGTTTTTATCAGGAATATCCAACGATTCGATTCCTTCTCCACAGAGGATTTTTCCTCCTTCTTTCTGGGCTTGACTGATGTAGCCCTTCACCTGGTCAGGGAGACAGTGGAGCATATCATTATTGGTAAAAGAGCTTCATTACAATATAATAAATAATAAATAATCTTTGCATTTGATATAGCGCTTTTCATATCTTCTAGAGTCTCAAAGCGCTTCACAGAATATACTGTAAAGTGAATTGACCGTATATTTGTGGGCAAAATGCTACTTATGTTCCAATGTATCACACCTTTCAAAATATGGCCACACAAGGTATCTTGTTTTATGTAGTATTCAAACTATCACTGCTAATACCATTAATATCATCAGTACTCTGAGATACTATCCTGCTTGAAGGGTGCAATATATATGCAAGTTGTTGTTAATACTGTACTAACAGTTAAAGTGCTTACAATATGTGTCCAATTTATTTCCTTCTCCATGGGTATTATTTACCTCTTTGCCAACTTTCAGGCATCTTTTCCCTCCTTGCCCCCTGGGCTCCTACCCATAGCTTAAGTGGGCACTTTGAAACATCTTCCAGATTTGAAAGGCACTATTTAAATGTAATTTCTACTGTATCGCCTTGTAATCTCTGCCAGCTCAGAGAGGAATCTGGATTTAGCCCAATGTATCTCCAGAAACACCCAACGACACCCATCACTGAGGATCATGACATACAATTTCAATGATCTTGCGTTTGATAAAACACCTTATTACATCATCAAAATGGTTAATCTCAGAGCACTTCACATGAATTACTGTGAAGTGCAGTGACTGTATTCTGTAGGCAAATGTCATAGCCAATTTGCTCACTCAATGTCCCACAAACAGTCATTAAGTAAATGACTGAACCATTTCACTTATGACTGAGCATAAAGTGTGCAGTAATGCTATTAGTCCAATTAATAAATGTGCATATTGCTTTTCCTCCAGTCCTATCATATCTCTTTTACAAGACAGTGAAAAATACAGTATGTGATAACTATTACATCACACACTGTAATTTTTACCCCAATCATTCTGCTATTCAAATCTTACCTTCCTCGGGGTACTGGAGGCAAGACACAGATGGGTAAAATTCTACCAGGGTATAGATTTACTCTATTAACGTTACATTTCAGAGAGTGCAAAACTTGGCTAATTATTGAATTCAGTTTTAACTTTGAAGCCTGTTTTCTATAGCAACCAATGGAAAGCTGCCTTCAAAATCAAGTCTGAATTTAAGAAACTGCCAAATTTGGGATACTCTGAAGTGCTATGTTAATGGAGTACATCTAGACAAGATAGAATTTCTACTCAATTGAAATCAAAATAACCCAGTGGCCCAGAAGCACAATTCTGGTAATTTCAGGTAAAATAACATAAAGTTTTACAAATAAAATATTTAAATTGCCATGGGATTTGACGTGATTTTATCACTGTACATGAATTGTAACAATGTAAACTTGTAAATTTTTACCCATAAAAGTCAATACCATTAGATGCCAATATAACTCCTACTTAATCTCTTTCTAGACCCAGGTACTGTTTATTCTTTAAAATAGTTCACGTTTGAAAGATATTACACACAATTTTGCTGCATATGGTCATGCAGAAAAATATTCAATATGCTATTGGTTTTTTTGGTCAATAAAAGTATTCAAAGAGTAATTCATTTTTCAACTCCTCCCTTAATTTCTCTGAAATCAGAAACCAACAATACCCAGAAACACAAACCTTCTGTAAATGCTCTTTACTGATAAGAGCACCCATGTTAGCAGTCAGGTCAGAGGGAAGGCCAACCTTCCATTTCCTGGAGGCTTCCACAACTTCTCCAAAAACGCTTTGTAAAGATTCTTTTGAACAAAAATTCTGCTGGTACACAGGCAGATTTCACCCTGTCAGAAGAGAAAAGATCTTGAGCTCCACATCCAAGCTAACAGAGCTTCTACTCAGTATATGTTGGAGATACAATCATCAGTATGGGTATGGTGAGCACAGTTTCATGCTCAGGTCCAAAGCAACTATAAATTAATATTCTATCAAGGATCAGAGGGTTCAGTATCAGTATAACAGTGTAACAAGTCAGTGCCTTCAGGAGGGGAGAGGTTGAAATAGATGGTGGGGGTGGGGCAAGAGAATATCAAAGGATGTTTTGGAACTGACACGTTAAGTGATTACCCTATACGGATATTCCCTTTGAGAAATTCACTCCGTCATCAGGTCATTGTTGATTTCACTTTCTCTATTAATGAATAGGGTCCACACTGCATTATTACCAAAACAGCACTGTGAAGAGGCATACTAGAACAGCACTGCCCCGCAATCTATTTACACTGAGCACGTACACACGCAGGATGTTTAAACCTTGTTGCACTCCCGCTTGCCACAAGTGCTCTTTACCTGGTTACTGAAGCTTGATCGCACTGTGGTCGAGACACATTCATCCAGGTTTGCGTCATCAAAGATGATGGCTGGGTTCTTCCCTCCCAGCTCCAAGGAGAGTCTTTTACAATACGGAGCACTTGCCTCTCGGATGTACTGTGCAGTCGAGGTGCTTCAAGTGAACGATATCAGCAGCACATTAGGGTGAGAGACAATTGCAGTCCCAACCAGTGTCAAAGACTATGTTCACCACACCAGGCGGGAGGCCTAGGAGAGAGGAGGAAGATCATCTCTGTGTAAGAATTGAGTAAAAACAGGTGACAAGACAGTACCAGGTTTCTATAAGGAGGGGTTTAATGTATATTTGTTAGAGGAAAACTAAACCCGAGTGATAAATTCAGTTTTTTTAAGAAAACAATGCAACTAACTTTCTCTGCTTTGAAAACCCACCTAAAAACTTAGCTCTGTGAGCCACCTCCATCCTCCCTCCTCCCCCATCCCAAGTGCCACCGCTCGGGCTCCAACTCCGTCTTTGTAAAGCACAATCTGACACTCTCCTACATGAATGGCACTATACAAGTGCAAATAGTTGTTGCTGTTAACACAGGTTATATATAACAACTGCTACAAATTACATTTATATAGCGCCTTTCACGTCGGAAGGACGTAACAAAGTACTGAGAATAACTAACAGGCTAACTCAGTGACATTTCACAGTGACATAATGTTACCTATAATTCAAGACCACAAATGATGTCTTATCAGCCTTTTTGAGGCCTAAAGAAGTATTTATGATACCATAAGATGGACCTTATAAATAAAGCAAAATGTCTCACTGGTATCACATTATTCACAATTAGACTTGTTATATCTCAGTGACCTGTGTCCATAAAACAAGACCCTCCCCATCCTGTGTTACGGTTAATTTACAGATACAGTCACTCTTCTTTACAGTAAATTTGGGGAAGCACGTGGAGATGTCCTGAGGACACGAAAAGGCAGTAAATCAAAGGTAAGGATTATTATCTTATCAGACAGCAGTCACTGGGCTGTACTCTGTATCGCTGCTGATGTCGTTGAGCAACGCTGCTTGAAAGCTGGACACTTGGGTGCGACTGCTCTCACATTTCCAGCCGCTGCCGCACACTCCTAGCACCTGGAAACCTTCTAGAACTGCACGACGTGTGCAGGAAGCTGTTTAGTAGGCCAGAGGTCAGAAGTGCGTTGTACTTTCAGTATACTGTAGGAGCAGGGTGTATATGTATTATATACAGTCCTGCAATACACTGATCAGGGCAGAAACAATGTCTAACTGTGATTTGTAACACCACAATGATGCATTGGGGGTTTATATATAAAATGATAACATGGTCTGACCACAGCATTGTCACAGTATTGCAGAAAAGAAAGTCAGGAAAGGTATAAGTCTTTTGTCACTCACGGCTAATTCCCTGTGACAGTGTGAGATATGCTCTAACACGAATGATCCTTCAGGGCGAATGTCATAATTGTGGCTCGTGTTCCACATATTTCGTGCCTGTAAATCAATCTATCTGCCTCATTCAATAATTATTCTGTGTAAAAATGTGTACAACAACAATATGCATTTTTATAATGTCCTTCATAGAGGACAGCATCTCGAGTGCTGTACAATGGCAGAGTTGGACACCAAGCAAAGAAGTAGGGTGTGGTTTTAAGGTAGGATTTCAAGGTAGATGAAGAGGAGGTGAGCCAGAGGTATTGAGGCAGGGAGTTCCAGAGATGAGGTGCACAGTGGCTGGAAGCACAGCTGCTGATGATGGTACAGAGGAGTCGGGGGATGCACAGTGAGCTTGTGTTAGCTGAGTGAAGGAGCAGGTAGACAAGTGGGGAAGGGAGGTTCTAGGGTATGAAGAGATTTGAATGTGAGGATGAGATCTTGCTTCAGAGATGTACCTGCTTCATCGAACAGCTTGCACATCATCCAGGCCGTGACGAGGTCATTTGCTGGGTTTGGCAATGACCGTATTGCCCATGGCGATGGCTGGAGCTATCTTCCAGGTCAGGAGGTATAGTGGCATATTCCAGGGGCTGATGAGGCCAGCTAGAGAGAGCAGGATCAGCAGTTACTATAACATCAGCTATGTGTGCAGTTACAAGCAGTCAGGAAAAAATATGCAATATAGAAAAGAAGGAAAATGAGTGGAAATGTTTGATTATTAACCTGAAGAAATTATTACTATTCCATATTTCATCACAAAGCCGAGAGCAGCAAAACTTTAGTTCACTCTATCTCTTGCACACTACTGCCATGTTTCACCACCTATTGGCTAACAGGCATTCCCAGTCCCCTCTGTTGTTAAAGACAAAGTGTTGCTGTAGTAGCATTTCCTGAGAGTATTTCTACACATTGAACAGTATAATGATAGTCTGCTGATCCAATTTGCCTCCGCAAGCATTGGGGTTCATTTCTGGAGGGATAGAAATGAAAAGCTGGGAAGTTATATGGAACCTTAGTTAAACCACATTTGTACAGTTCTGGTCCCCATATTATAGAAAGGATATAGAGGCACTGGAGAAGTTGCAAAGGAGATTTACAAGGCTGATACTGGACCTGCAAGATTATACCTATCAGGAAAGGCTGAAGAAGCTTGGACTCTTTTCTCTTGAAAGGGGAAGAATGAGGGGTGACCTAATAGAGGTCTTTAAAATTATGAAATGTTTTGATTGGGTAGACATATAGAAGATGTTTCTACTTGTGAGGGAGACCAAAACCAGAGGCCATAAATATAAAATAGCCACCAATAAATCAAATAGGGAAGTCAGAAGAAAGTTATTTACCCAGAGAGTGGTGGGAATGTGGATCTTGCTAGCACAAGGAGTAGTTGAGGCAAATAGTATAGATGCCTTTAAGGGGAAGCTAGATATTTTATGTAATGCTATGTAAAGCTTAGGGGTTTTGCTAATAATAAAGTATGTTCCCCTCTTTCTCTGATTAGACAGCCTCTCTTTCAGATGGGTGTCAAAAAAGAACTCAAGGCACTATCCAAAGAGAGAAAGGAGTTTTTCTCCCAGTGTCCCGGCCAACAATCCTCTAGATAAAACTGATCATTCACCCCCATTGTGGGACATCATTGCTGTATGCAAAATGGGACTGCCAAGTTTGCTTACAAAACGCAGTCAGTACACTTGACAGTAAATCCTGTGAAGTGTTTTCAGACATCCGCCTGATGTGAAAGGCGCTATATCAAACGGATTATTTATTTTTCACTAGTTATCTACTCCTCCACATCACCAATATCTTCCTTTCATCTGAACTCTCCTCCCTGATTCATATTGTGACCGATAGGGTGGGAGCTGCCCTCCCAGGCCTCACTAAGTAACCATTCTCCCAATCCTACAAGACTTTTCATTATAACGTTTAAAGTGAGCACCATTTTTATTTAACTTCAGGGCTGTTAACAAATGATTAGTGGCAGAGCTTCCTTTCACTGAGGGTGGAGAGATTGTGGTCACTATTACTGAAGAGATGTTTTATACACTGCTAACGGCAAATTTTGTTTAGGTCCTGGCCAGGGTCAAAGGAGCCAGTGAATCGCAACAGGAAGGGAAGTAAAAACAACAGACAACTTTAGCGTTTCCTGTGGATACCACCCGACCTCTCTCGTGAGATTGGGCAACATTACCAGCAGCGTTCATCTGGTCTCACCAAACCACAGTGTGTCTATGTGTGTGTGTGTGTGGGGGTGGGGGTGTCAGTACTAAACTAGAGTTAAATAAAACCAGCAGAGGACACTCACACTCAAGCTGGGACTCAGAGTTATGTCTGCTGAGGACGGGCCACAACTATGTGAATATGCACAACCTCACTGTGCACCATTGAGGAGACTCAATTAATTCTTTCTGCTATATTTACTTGCCTTCCCCTCCCCTTCTCACGTGAAATGACTTATATACAGTGACTGTTCCTTCTTTGGTTCCTCTTCAGAAAGAATCAGCAACTCCATATCAAAGCTGATGTAATTCTGCTCCTAGTTCTAAGCTCTACCACCGGTTAAATTATCCGAGGTACATGTTTTTTTGACAGACTTTGAAGAAACACAGCATTAATGAGCTGCAATATTCAATCCACTTTAATACCTCACCTACTCCCACTGGAGTTCGAGCGGTGAAGTGCGTGCAGCTCATGCGATCCATCTGTGTGCAGTCGGTGGTGTGGTGGAGGATGGACGAGGCGAAGAAACGGAAATTGTAAGACGCTCAAGGTATTTCTATGTTTCTGGCCACAGTTATCGTCTTCCCTGAAGTTTGAAAAGAAAAGGAACATTGAGGTATAAAGAAGAGGTATATTTACAACGACCACTGCTAACAAAGCCCTATGGCTGAATATGGCTCAAATATCTGTGTTAACACTCCCACAAAACTGTCCTAGAGCAAGAACAACTCAACTGAAGTTCAAATAAATGTCTATTGAACAAAGGGATCATGGTATCTTCAAAATAAAAACAAGAGAATGGGAAGCAAAAACAGACATCGCTGGGAACAGGTCAGGCAGCATCTATGCAGAAAGGAAAGTGAGTCAACATTTCGGGTCCCCGACCCTTCATCAGAACTGGGGCATTTTGGAAGGGAAAGGCTTTTAAGAGCTAACAGAGAGGGGAAAAACAGGGTAAGGAAGACAAAGGAGAAAATGGGGCAGAGGACAGGGGATGATGGGTAAAACAGATGTTAATGATGCAAAACAAAGGGGGGATTGCAGCAAAACAGGGGACAAGAGGTGTTAATAATGCAAAACAAAGTGTGTGTGTGTAGTGTGTGGGGGGGGGGGAAATTACAACAAAGCAGGCAAACCAGAGCAGGTGATGTGGTAATGGTCATAGAAGAGGGGGAGGGGGAAGGTGAGCTGTTATGGTCTGAAATTATTTAAATCAACATAGAGGCCAGAGGGCTGTAAAGTCCCCCGCAGATAGATGAGGTGCTGTTCCTCGAGCTTGCGCTGTGGTTCATTGGAAAAGCATAGGAGACCGTGGATGGAAAGGTCAGAGTGCAAGTGGTAGAGAGAGTTGAAGTAGCAAGAAACTGGAAGCTCAGGGTTGTGCTTGCGGACAGAACTGAGGTGTTTGGCTAATCTATGACCCAAACGAAAAGAGAATAGGAAATGAATAGCTTTTTTTTTAAATAAAGGGTGAAAGACAGGTGAACAAAAACAAAACAAGAGGATTTTAACAAGGAAGTAGACAAGTTTCTGACAATAAAATGATTCTGGTTTCATAAAATCACAAGGGAGGAATGGATGAGGGAGCAATGGATAAGGATGGCCCCTTGATCTTTTTGGTCTCATTCAGCATTTTAGCCTCAGACATCCTGACAAGAAGGATATTGTAAAAATGAAGAATACAGCTTAGATTTACTGGGATGTTACAAGTGATAAGAGAATACAACTGTTAAGAAGACTGGTAGAACGTTCCAGAGGGGACTTGATATCGACGTTTAAAATTATGAAGGGTTTTTCTGCAATCACTTTCATCAAAGGAAACCCAGATCGCTCTTGACAAACGAACGTTTGGTGGCACAACTGCTCTGTGTAGTTGCACAATCGTTTTCAACCAATCTTTCAGAAATTGTTGAGAAAAACAACTGTCAAATCTCACACTAATGTGCTGTTTTACTTTTAAACTGCAAATATTTGCTTTTTTTTTTAGTTCTCCTGCTGTGTATACTTGGTGTTGGCTTTGCTGAAAAATATGACATGCTTATAAATAAATCTTTTGGAGGAAATCCTGTGACTTTTTTCATTTTTTTGACTGGTGTGGCTCACACTGTTATTCATGAGCTACATAAGTGGCTCAGTACACATCTGGATTCGACAATAGTGCTCTAGAAGATCTCCTTCTTTCAAGGCTGAAGACCTCTAACTTATCTAGTGTCCCCTTCAAACAGTGGAGGAACATCCTCGTTGATGTCCTCTGAATACGTCTCAGGTCTGGACAACCCCATTAAGTGCCAGTGACTAGAACTCCAGATATGCAGGACTCTAGATATGACCAAATTAATAATAATTTGGTTACTGAATACATGACTGTTTGTGGGACACTGCTGTGTGCAATTGGCTGCCACTTTTCACGTACAAAATATACAGTCATTTGACTTTACTATATTCTGCGAAGTGCTTTGAGATGTCTCAACGACATGATAACACGCTATAACAAATACAAGGATTATTATATTACGGCCTGACCAGAACACTGTACACTTTGAGCATGATGTCCAGGAATCCGAACTTGTCACTACTGTATTATTACTGGATTTGTCAATACTGTATTAGCTCACTATCGTTCTCTTTGTTTATTGCTGCCATTGTCAACTAACAACTCTGGGTCTCTTACAACTTCCCCTTCGGCAAGTTCTATATTTTTTATTTCAGCTCATCCACTGGCATCAATTTATATAGATTCCCAGATTCTAGCCCCTTTGTCTGTCAACTATCAATTATTAGTTAATCTGCGTAAAGAAGCAATGGGCTGGAGACGTCACTACCTTGATCCTTTGACTCTGCCTGAGCAAATTCTTCCAGGTGAGCCTCAATCAGGTCCGCCAGCTTGTACAGTATCTGGGAACGAGCCTCCGGGCTCTTCGATGACCACTCGGGGAAGGCTTCCTGGGCAGCACTGATGGCCAGTTCCACCTTCAAGGAAAAAAAAGTTTCAATCAACAGAGTCACCAAAACTAGAGCTGATTTTTCCCATCAAGATGACACCCTCTTCTCCTCCAGCATTCACTTTCTGAAGGTATTTTGATAATATTCAACAGGAGGTTGGTCATCTGTGTTACTTCTTAATCAAAATCCTTAATAAGAGGAGGTACGGTGAGCATTTGGGTGACACCAAATGCAAGGATTATTAATAAGTCACTTAAGTTTGCCCTTCGGATGATTTGTTAAACCGAGGTCCTGATGATTTGTTAAACTGAGATTTCATGACATGATTCAAAAAGAGGAGTTTCTCCCAGTGTCCTGATCAACAACTCCCCAGATAAAATTGGTCATTCAATTCATGGTTGTTTATGTGCATAATTGGCCTGCCCCATTTGCCTAAAAAATAGTCACTCCACATCACAAAATATCCTGTGAAGCACTTTGAAATATGAAAGAAGCTACACCAAATGCACGAATTATTAAATAGTGACTTCTGGTAACTTGGACTACATCACCTCAATTTAAATAATCTCAATCAGAAATACCACAACCTTGACCAAAATGAGTAATTTCTTAATTTAACTGGAGTTGAATGAATGTAGAAATAGAGTGACTGCTGGTTCCCGAATCTCTGAAAAGTGACCCCATTTCCAAACCATAGCACTGTATGATGAACCAGAGAACACAAAGTGCAGAATATTTTAAGACTATTCCACTGAAAGCTCCCTTTAGAGCCATGGGAATTCCTAAAGACTATGCTCCTCACCAAGGGTCGTTTTTCCCTTCATTTTGCCTACAAATACAGTCACTACACTTTACAGTAAAAATCCTGTGAAGCACTTTGAGACAATTTGATGACGTGATAAGGTACTGTATCAAATGCAAAAATTAATATTATTATTTAGAAAACACCAAATTATGTTACCTGAATTTCAGAATTTCAAAACCAGCTCTCTCACAAACTGTGCATTATAATTCTCCACTAATCCCAAGAGAGTTTGAAAATAAAAACATGCACAGCTTTTTAAAGAAATAGATCAGATTCATGTTGACATTAAACAGAATTTGTCAAAACCACGAAGGAGTGTGTGATATCCTCTGTACATTTAGTTCTGCCACATTGTAAAGATAATTATTCAATACACGGCAAGTAGGTCATAGCTCATGACAACAATTGGTGTCTAATTTTTGAACTTCATCTTCCACAGCACGGGCATCACATGAGATGTCAGTGTTTTAGGCATTTGGTAGCATGCTTATCTCGGAGTCAGAAATTTGTGAGTTCAAGCCCCACATCTGGACTTTGAATCCACATAATCTATGCTGACTGTCCAATACAGTGCTGAGTGAGTGCCGTCCTTTGGATAAGACATTAAAACTAAGTTCCCCACTGCCTTTAACGTGGACATTCAAGTACTCCGGGACATTACACTGGGTGAAGGGCGCTATATAAATGCAAGTTGTTGGTGATGTTGGCTCAAGGTCCGATAGCACTATTTGCAAAGAGAAGGCAGTTGGTCCTGGCATCCTGGCCAACAATCCTCCAGATAAAATTGGTCACTTAGTTTTCATAGCTGAGCGGAAGATTGTCTGCCACGTTCACCCACAAGTACACAGTCAATACATTTTGGAGTACATCCTGCAAAGTGTTTTGATGACATGGTAAGTTGCTAGAAATGGGTACCTCAAATACAAGCATCACTATTAATATCTCTCTCCTGAAAATCTGGGATGTCACAACAAACTGAACAAACCCAATATTCAAAACATTGGAGGCAAATCTGGCTCAGCGTCACTTCGCTTATTGATACATTATCTTTGATCAAGATACACAGTACTTCCCCTTTTATAAAGGCCTTTTTCTTCTGCAATTCTACTAGTTTGACTTTCAGTGCCAGGAAGCTCAGTGTAACTTTATGTTGAAGAAAAGCTATCGTGCTGCAATTTTCCGACCAATCCACATGGATCCACTATGGGACCAATTAATTATGCAAAGCAAATCCTACCATGGTTAATGACAAAGACAAACATTTCCTCTAATGGAGATTACCTGTAATTTTTTTTTTTAAATGGTAAAAGATGAAGGAAGATTCAAATCAAACTGTGTTTTGTTCACTTTAAACTGAAAGTCGTACTTAATTTACTTATTTTTCTCAAACACAGTTTGTTTGATGGCTCAAACCACTGTGCAGAATGAAACTGAGCCAGCCTGATTCAGAAGGTCTCAAGTTTGACCACTGGTTTGTATGGTTTAATCTTAGTTTAGCTCAGCAAGAGCAATCGCTAAGCCTGGTTAGTAGCTCAGTAAGTCAGTAACTAGAGGGTATCAATTTTACATAAGTTTGTAAATGAGCAAATGCAGAGGTTAGGGGGAAAAAAATCCCACACAGAGTATTTAGAAGGGAACTAAATAAATACCTAAAATACAGGTATGTGGGGAAAGGGCAGGAAACGGGACTGAAACAATTGCTCTTTAAAGAGCCAGCACAGACACAATTGGCCAAATGGTCTTATTTATCCAAACAGACACTGTGTGCTGTAACATGGATTATGCACTGTGTTGTAACAAGGAATGCACAAGACAGGAGACACTGTGTTTTGTAATAAAGTGTGAGCTTAATCATTACCACAAGTTTGAAACACAAGTATTGATAGGGGTCAGCTCTCAAGTAAAGGTTACTGATAACACAGCAAAAACAAACGCAGACTGCAAACTCTAGAATGTTTCACCAATTTATTCATTACATGAAAACATACAAATCACTGGGCACTGTTGACATTCTGCCACAGGCTCATTGTGAAAATGAGTGAAAACATTAGCCATTTCATTTTAATGTTTTAATCAAACTCTTCCAAGAGAATAAGATTATTTACAATTAACACAGCCCAGTCATTAATTGTGGTTGTTTATCACCCACTGGCAGGGTTTCTGCTAACTGAGGCGTTGCTCGTCCTGACTAGATTCAGATTTCAAAAATAATGGATAACAATATAGCGCCTTTCACTTTGGGAGGATATCTCAAAGTATTTCACAGGATATCCTGTATAATGTAGTGACTGTGTATTCTGTAGGAAAACATGGCAGGCAATGGCACCCAGCAACAACAAGAACAACAACAAAGTTACATTTGTAAAGCACCTTTCATGTCAGGAGGACGTCCCACAATGCTGACCAGACAGAGTTACGGACCTGAGCTGGGGGTCAGGGTCGGGGAGGGTGGAGGGCGGGGGGGGGGGGAGCAGGGAGATCAAAAACAGCTCACAAACAGCATTGAAGTTAATGACTAATTTTATCTGGGGGATTGTTGACACTGGGACAAACTCCCTGCTCAAAATAAGATGGGAGAGGGAAGGAGTGGTTGGGAGGGGTTACCATAGACAGACAAGGGGATTTTGAAATTGGCTGTAAATTTCCTGTCGTTGCTATGTCTGATTCAGCAATTGTATTGACCTGGACAATTTCTGTGCATAATCTGCCTACATCCCCGCGCCCACCAAAAGCTGAAGTTGCTTAAATATAGGTGATGGATTTTGACATGCGTCAACCTGGCTGACCAAACAAAAACACTGCTAAATATGATGACCAGTGGAGTTTAAGGTTTACCTGCCAAGGAGGGTACATTTCCAGATGATTACAGACTAACCCCTGTCCTCCCCAATCATAGCTAGTGGTGCGGTTGGTACAAACAGCACGGATGATGAGAGAGAGGGAATGTTACCACAATCCAAACACCTCAACAGGAAATTCACATCTGTGCAGATTAGAGGGATGAAATTCCACCTGAGTTTACATTTACTCTGCTTATGTGGCATTTCAAACCTTCCACTCTTAAATTCTTAAGAGTTAATGCTTAAACACTGTCTTAATTTTGAGGCCATTTCTCTGTAAGTTTATTTTGAGAACAAAATGTTGTGATATCTACCCTATTATCTATATATATATATATACACACACACATATCATCATTTCTCTAAGAAATGGTATCACAACTTTTTGGTCAGCCTGCAGAAGAAAAAATGTCGAAGTTGAGAATGAATTCAACAATTTGCCAAATTCTAGCCGCTCTAAAATGCTCCATAAATAGAGTAAATCTAGCCCTGGGTGGGATTTCTCCCTATGGATAAGGGTGGGATTGTCTGCGGTGTGATGTGCCATCAAAGCTCACATAAAAATTATTGCTCCTTAAGCGAGAAATCAGACTACAATTGTCCCTCATGGAACCATTCACCAATGGCTCAGAGCTTTTGGGACATTACCTAATTAGAGGAGAAAATTGGGATGAGAAAAACATTTGGACAAAAGAAAAATACATGCAAGCCCCTCAAGATTTATAATAAAGTGAACATTCATAGCTTACAATCTGCTGCTTTTGCATTACTCATTACAACCAATGTTTAGCTTTCTAGCAGTGTTTTATGGGGTGCACCTAATACACTATCCTGGGTGAAGGGCAATATGTAAAGTTGTTGTTGTTCTGCAGGGTCCATACTCTAGTCCAATTAAGCCAGTGTCTTGAACTATTTATGTAGATGATTCTATGGCACTCTTCACCATCAGAGCTTCTGTTCGTCAACAAACCCAACAGTCACACCACTTTACAGTGTGAAGCGCTTTGAGACATCTCAGTGACGTGACATAATGTACTCTATCAAATGCAAGTATTATTACTATCAGTAACTAAAACAAGTTGCTTATGCTGGACATAGACATCCTCTCCCCTTCTTCTGTTCAATATCACAGGGTCCAATTGTTGCAACATGTCATCTCAATGTAATGCACACGTTTGAGGGACAACACCAAGGCCCCTCTTCATCCAGACTCTCTGAAGACTTCTTGATGCAAATATTGAGGTATCACCCAGCAGCACTCTAGCTAATGCGCCACTCCATCCTGAAGAAGTGGAAGGTACTATTACTGAGATTCCTCTCAAAACTCATCAACAGCAATGTGTGCACCCTAAAAATCTAAAATGTTCATATTTATCTCAGAATTATTACATAATAATCATAATAATCCTTGCATTTGATATAGCCCTTTTCACATCTTCTAGACGTCTCAAAGCGCTTCACAAAATATATTGTAAAGTGAATTGACTATATTTGTGGGAGAAACGCGGCAGCCAATTGCGCACAGTAGTGTCCCACAAACAGTCGTGGATTGAGTGACCAAATTATTATTGCTTTTATTTTTTCTCGAGAGATTATTATCAACCATTATCCTTGAATGGTTGTGGAGTCCTGTAGCTCAGTGGTTAGAGCACTCGCTTTGCAAGCGAGAGATCCGAGTTCAATTCCAGGCAGAGGGCGAAACCTTGGGCCAGTTTCCTTACTCCACACGCCTAATAATAATCCCTCCAAAACCAAAAATAATAATAAAAATTGGTCTTTTTCAATCTACGACTGTTTGTGGGACATTGCTGTGCGCAATTGGCTGCCGCGTTCGCCCACAAATATACAGTCAATTCACTTTACAGTGTGTTCTGTGAAGCGCTTTGGGACGTCCTCCCGACGTGAAAAGCGCTATATCAAATGCAAGGATTATTATTATTATCAGGCGTTTGAAGTAAGGAAACTTGCTCAAGGTTTCGCCCTGCCGGGAATCGAACTCACGTCTCTCGCTTGCGAGGCGAGTGCTTCAACCTCTGAGCTACAGGACTCCTGAAATGCATTACATATATGTAATGTATTATTTTCCTTTCATTGCACATTATAGCTTTACATATTAGGACTTCAACACTAAAAATACTGTTTTTAATTTGAATTGTTGATATTCATCTCTATTTTAAAGTTAACAGCTGTGCAATGAATGCAGCTTCAACAATGCTTGCAATAAAACAGTTTCTTACTTACCAGCACAATGTTCTTTATGACTTGGAATGAACGGTTTTGTACAATTTCTTTATCCGATGTCCTCTTTGTACAGGTGTGATGTTTTGCTTCCCATTTCAACAACAACTGACATATGACATTTGTCATGTGTAGTTCCTGAAGAACATTTGTCCACTCTTTCATACTTTTTCAGAACTACAACAAACAGCTTCAAAGTTGCCACTGAATTCAACAATTTGCCAAATTCTTGAATGTTCCATAGCGGCAGCATTTACAGAGCTCTAAAATGCTCCATAAATAGAGTAAATCCAGTCCTGGGTGAGATCTCTTTGAGTGACTCAGAGGTGATAGTGTTACCGACATGCCAGACAGTCACCTGGGTGCTCACCATTGCTGAAAAGTCAGCTCTAAAATGACTGCAAGTATTCTCAGACTTACATCTGTTATTTTACTACAATAAAATACAATATAAATTTACATTTCATAGCGTCCTTCACGTCAGGAGGATGTCCCAAAGCGGTTACTTAGAACCATTTCCTAAGGTGCTCCATCTGTAGTTATTGATTTGATATACCTGCGTATTGGCCACAAAATACAGTTATTCCACTTTACCGTATTTACTGTGAAGCGCTTTAAGACGTGTCGATGACACGATGAAGCACTAAATCAAATGCAAGGATTATTAATATTAGTAGCTGTCTCATTCCCACTTTAGGAAAAACATCATTTTCATTCTCAGTGTTATTATTACTCTTATTCTTTTAGGTAGATCTTCACCACTGTATTCCATCAGCGTACAATTTCTTTCAACCTGCAACTCAGATCATTCAGTGAGTGCCACTTTCTTCTCTATTGTTGGTATCAATGGTACTCTGCCACTAGCCGGTGACCACAGGGTGTGGTTTAACTTGACATTTGTTCCTATCTCACTCATTTCCCAGGCAGCAGTCTGATCGAGGACTGATCCCAGTCACCCAAAGAACTGTCTGAGTGATGGTCAAAGCTGGGACTCCCTCCATGGATTCCTTGAATGGTTACTTTAGACTCAATGGCTCAATGGGCCCAACAACCTACTACTGCCCCTACTCTTCAATCCACACCATCTTCAGGCATGGCACAGCTGGTGGTCAATTCCACTGACACGCTCAGTAAATACAGCATTACGCTATGCCAGCGTTAGTGTAACAGGTATTCTTTTTCATTCAAGCTTCTGCATCAGAGACGCACTGTAAAATCCACCATCTCTGGGATTATCTGTTAATTAAACTCCAGTGGTAAACCACCGACCGATTCAATCTCAATGACAGCAGCCTCGGAATTTGACCGGAACTGTGACTTCTGTAGTGTTAATATTGTCCACAGAGATATCCAAGCTTGGCAAGACAACAAGAACAACAAATTGTATTTGGATAGCGTCTTTCACGTCAGGAGGACGTCCCAAGGCGCTGGACAGTCAGGGATCAGCACTCGATTGCAGACAGTCAAGTACTACTTGTCTGCACCCAAGGGCAAAGTTTGTGACAGGGACAGAAAAGGCTTCTTTGCCTTGAATAGCATAAATATCAACTGGCATGTTATCTGGTCAAAGGTAACATATTATTTAACACAGCATTGATGATGGTCAGCTCCACTCCCCTCCTTACCCCTGCCTTTATCTCACACATACAATTAATATTATTAATCAGGTTAATTGTGGAATCCTGTAGCTCAGTGGTTAGAGCACTCGCCTCTCAAGCGAGAGACCTGGGTTCGATTCCCAGCAGGGCAAAACCTCGGGCAAGTTTCCTTACTCCACCACACGCCTGATAATAATCCCTCAAGAGAGAAAAAAACAAGAATAAATTGGTCACTTCAATCCACGACTGTTTGTGGGACACTGCTGTGCGCAATTGGCTGCTGCGTTTTGCCCACAAATATAAAGTCAATTCACTTTACAATATATTCTGTGAAGCGCTTTGAGACGTCTCGAAAACGTGAAAAGCGCTATATCAAATGCAAGGATTATTATTATAATAACGAATAGGTGGCTATATACAGTACTCTGTACTAGATGGCACAAACCTCTTGCCAGTTTCATAATAACTACTAACTACGATTAACTACTTTGCATACGTTAATATTTAACAGCTGTTTACAACATCTTACACAGTTTAAAGTAGACCAGAACCACATTCTGCTGCGCATCGTCTGACTGCGTAAATGTCTAGGGTTTAATTCTGTGTTAAAGATAACAGAATCAGGTGAACATTTCAATAGATCCAACACAGGGCCAGATCCACCCCTCCACCCCCCCCACCGTGAGCACCGCACAGGTGGGCAGCGTTGCCATCAAAGGAACGGTGCCAACAGGAGCGCACAGCATTACTGCCAGCGCCCAGCCAGCCAGTCTGCAGTGAAGCCCCCCCCCAGCCCCCCTCACCCCCCCCCAGCCCCCCCTCACACACCCCAGCCCCCCCTCACCCCCCCCCCCCTCACCCCCCCAGCCCCCCCAGCCCCCCCTCACCCCCCCAGCCCCCCCAGCCCCCCCTCACACCCCCCAGCCTCCCCCCAGCCCCCCCTCACACCCCCCAGCCCCCCCTCACACCCCCCAGCCTCCCCCAGCCCCCTCACACCCCCAGCCCCCCCCAGCCCCCCCTCACACCCCCCAGCCCCCCCTCACACCCCCCACCCCCCTCACACCCCCCGCCCCCCCTCACACCCCCCCAGCCCCTCACCTCACCTCCTGCTCGCCACTGTCCGGCACTTTGCAGTACACCTCCCCTGTGGAGGGGTCGTAGGAATCGATGTGACTCGAGCACGGCGTAAATTTCCCCCCTATGTAGTTCTCCAGCACGAGATATGTCCTCTGGTGAGCCATCTTGGGCATGACTGCTGCTGCAGGTACTGCTGCTGCTGTGACTGCTGCTGCAGGTACTGCTGCTGCTGCTGTGACTGCTGCTGCAGGTGCTGCAGGTGCTGCTGCTGCTGTGACTGCTGCTGCAGGTGCTGCTGCTGCTGTGACTGCTGCTGCAGGTGCTGCTGCTGTGACTGCTGCTGCAGGTACTGCTGCTGCTGTGACTGCTGCTGCAGGTACTGCTGCTGCTGCTCCACTGCGCGAGGCACGAACCGCAGCGCAGCCACCGCCCACCCTGAGCCTCTGCTCCTCCGCTCCCTCAACCAAACCCGCTGCCCGGCGGCCTCTGATTGACGGCTCCCGCGGCCACTCACCGCCGGCCGCAGCCCCGTGGAGCGGCTCGAGCCGCCAATCGGGGGGGGGGGGGGGGGGCGGGACCCGCGCGATCCAGTTAGGTTGTGTCGGCTGTCTATGATTGGTCCCCTCCTGCAGAGGGGGGGCGGGGCTGAGGGGCGGCTCGGCGTTGGCTGCTGTGGTGCCGCCACACGCGCACAGCCACCGGGAATGGCCCCTTCAGGCAGTTCACACGGTCACACGGTCAGCACAGGGCGGCCTCTCTGCAGCTCACGTTTCATGTCCTCCAAACGCAGCAGATCACTCAACCCCCCCCCCCACCCCTCCCCCCCCGTGGCTGTTTGTTGCGGACGTCTCTGAGCGCAAAATTGGCCGCTGTGTCCGCCGACCAGATTCACAGCACGTGAAGCGCTGTGAGACGTCTCGACGACGTGATAAGGCGCTGTATCAAAATGCAAGGATTATTATTCTGACAGTTGTTGAGTGATGTGGTTGGGGGCCATTGACACCAGCACACGATGCGGAGTCCAACTGCAATGGTATCGGTAATGCTCCGGACCCGACCCGCCACATGCCACTCAGTTGAAGTGACAGCCACTTATTTTGACCGCATCTCCAATATGTTCAAATGGGTTTGTCACCTTTCACCAATTGCAAATGTCACTCCTCGCGTTCCGCTCTGACTCACTAATTCAGGACTTATTTTTTGACTCGTGGCTTATGGCAGCAGAGAAAAGCTAATTTTCATATAAGTGTCACAGGAGAAGCACTGCCAAAGACAGCCCACGGTTTAGAGATGTATTTGTCTAAGTAAACGTGAAAAGGATACTGAAGCAGGTCAAGAGTTTCCAGATACCCTGTACCAAAATCATTTTGTTTGCAGCAACCTTCCCAATGGAAGCCCCAACGTATTCTGAATGCTGGTCCGTTTTTCAGGCTTAAGAGATATTGTACTCTTCCTTAGTACAATCCAATGTCATGTGAACCAGCAATGTCTGCACCAGATTTGGACACTTGGGAGATGTTGGCAATAAGGATTCTAAAATCTAATGAGTCACAGCACAAATTTCCCCATCGTTTGGTACTGCGTTGACTCAGAATGACCACAAGATTCCAACAGAAGATCATAAGATTGGTTCAGTTGAAGAAGGCCCTTTAGCCCATTTAATAATAATCCATTTGATAAAGCACCTTAGCACTTTGTTGAAACATCTCAAAGTGTTTCACAGGAATTCACTGTAAAATCTAGTCGATCTCATTCTTCCAGAATACCCACATCTTCCCATCACACCCTCAAGCTGTTTTTTTTTAAACGTGTCCAGCTTGCTGGCCTCCACCATTCATCCTGGTAACTTGTTCCAGCCATTAATTACCCTGAAGACAGACAGATGGTGCTGCAAAAGAAAATTGTTGCACTGGTTACAGTGTGGGTGCTCTTCCGAGGTTGAGACTAAAATACTTTACTGGAGCTTAACAAGGAATTTCCCTCTGCATAGAACTAAGGCACAGACCTGTGAGTCTGGTTTAAGACAATTCCCTGCAAAAGGAGCGCTATATAGCAGCAAGCTGCTGTTATTGTTGTTGCTTGATGCTCACAATGGAAAATTTCTATTTCCAAGCATTAATGACCCTCAATTTATTGAGTGCAACATTCACACATAGTATTGTTTTATAAAAAGTTCTGTTTCTATTTCTTGATTTTTAATATGTCAAAGAAATCTGACTTGTTTCTGCAAGATATGGAATATTTTGGGGCTTAGCATAAATCCTACCTGAGGTATCCTCCAAATTGCTGATTCTCTAATCGTTTATGTAGTTAATGTTATTCAGAGATTAATGTATTTATTTTCAGTTGAAGATCACACCATCAACACACTCATTCTCCCAAGGTTGGGAAATCTGCCAATGAATGAAGAATTGTCTTTTGGATGCTTACATGTTCATAGTCAAAGCCCTTGGCAGAAACAATCATGTACTTTCCAATGTTTACCACAAAAGAGCTTTCAAAACCTAATCGATGAAGTGCAAATGGCCAATGTTGCATTTCAGTCTGAATGGCATAACCAAATTAATAAAGCTGCTCCAAGTAGGGGAAGCAAGTTGGGTTAAAAAATTTTCCACGCCTTCTACTTACCCTAGCCACTGAATAAATGTAATGTTTCAAACTAGGATGAAATACTAAATTAATGTGTTATATAATATATATCTAATAATAATCCTTGCATTTGATATAGCACATCTTCGAGATGTCTCAAAGTGATTCACAGAATTACTGTAAAGTGAATTGACAGTATATTTGTGGGCGAATTGCGGCAGCCATGTTACTCATGTGGGGAAATAATACNAAAAACGAGGTTACAAAGATTGCATTTCAGACTGTTTTCTAAAATCCTGCACAACCTTACATTCTAAGACAATGGTCTTCAGTCTGACATTTCAGGCACAAGGAGTGGAAATTCAATTTGATTTCCCTTTGCTAACACAGTAGGGGTGCTACAATTGGTTTCTTTTGGTGCTGAAACCAATCCAATTGTAGCACACCTAATACTGCCCTGGCTCGGCAGCACACAACAGTCTGGAGAATCAGTGTGGGCCTTCTTGCCCTGCGTTGCCGTCCTTCAGATGGGACCAAGGTCCCATCAGCCTGTTCAGGTGACAGTAAAGATCCCAAGGTAATACTCAAAAAGAGAAGGGAATTTATCCCGGTGTCCTGCCCAGCAACCCATAATAAAATTTCACTGGCTGTATGCTAACTGGCTGCTACAATCCCCTACAAACCCATAGACACACTACACTTTACAATAGATGCTGCAAAGCTCTTTGAGACATTTAAGACCATTCAGAGAAGGCACTATATTAAATGCAAAGATTATTGATATATTTATCTAGCCTCATTACTACTGGATAAACTAAACGGAGGTTCATCCAATTCAGTACAAACATCCTCTGTTTTTCTTCAACTCAGCCCATAACTTGGGTGCTACTCAACTCATTGCAATACTGTAATAAACTTAGGGAATTAAAGGGAAATACACAGATATTCCTTCCATATTGGAGTCCTGTAGCTCAGTGGTTAGAGCACTCGTTTTGCAAGTGAGAGACCTGAGTTCAATTCCAGGCAAGGCGAAACCTTGGGCAAGTTTCCTTACTCCGCACGTCTAATAATAATCCCTCCAAAAACCAAAAACAATAATAAATTGGTCATTTTCAATCTACGACTGTTTGTGGGACATTGCTGTGCGCAATTGGCTGCCGCGTTCGCCCACAAATATACAGTCAATTCACTTTACAATGTGTTCTGTGAAGAGCTTTGGGACGTCCTCCTGACGTGAAAAGCGTTATATCAAAATGCAAGGATTATTATTACAGCCATTCATTGTAAAGAAAAAGTGCATTACACTTACCACTTTATTATTCTCTGTCCATCTGTTCTTTAGTAAGTGATGAATAAATGATGTATGTACAATATGTGGAAGTTTTAAGTAAGGCATGAAATGAACCATCATATACCATTTAACAAACCACCCAGATCATACCATTAGAACTTGTTTCAATCATGGATTTAAGTGCTACTTATTAAAGTTCAGCAAATGCTACTTGGCATTAAAATAAGATTTTTTTTAAAAGTAACCTAGGTTGCTAATGGACATTTAATGAAGATCCATGGGATATGATTTTAGGCAACACATATACAAACTAAGGCTCTGCCGTCTTAAGAGAAGATGACTTGGTAGGGAGGTCTTAGAGATGCACAGCATTTTAAATGGGATTTAAATTTTTTAATGGATTTAAAAAGTAAACCCAGAAAAATACTTGAGGATGCACTAAGACAGTAAAAAAGGACATAGGTTTAGAGTTGCAAAGGGCAATTTCAGAACAAACACCAGGAAGTGTTTCTTTACTAATAACCTTAATAGCTAATCCATTGATAATTGAGTAAGATTGTTACTCACCTTTTTTCCTCAGATGATATTGTAATTAACAACTGAAATAGGTTGCCAGGAAGGTTGGTTGATGCCAGGATACTGAACTTGATGCTGTGATGGGAGGACGGTGGGTGTTCTGGAGAGATGACATCAAGTGGGCCAAAGGGCTTTTTTCATCCAAAACAATCTTGTGGTTTTTAATTAGTAAGGGGGCTGATTTGGGTGATGAAGTCCTTCACTACGAGGAGATGCTGGATTTCGTTGAATCCAAAATCAAGGGAATCTGCTCTGTGGTCACTGCCCCTCCAACTTCCACCCACCCCCCACCCCTTCCCTCCCACACTCCAACTCCTACCCATCCTCCCCTACACACCTTCAAACCCGTTTCCTCACCCTCTGTCATCAACCTCATCCTGTCCCTGAAACCCATCACCTGCTCCCTTGATCCCATCCCCACTCCACTCCTTATCTCAGCTCCCCCTCCTTGCCCCACTTTTCACAGACATCATCAACCTATCCCTCTCCTCTGCCTCTGTTCCCATTCCTCTAAAAACTGCCACCATCACTCCCACATTAAAAAAACCCTCCCTTGATGCGTCGCAGCTATCAAGCTACCGGCCCATCTCCAACCTCCCCTTCCTGTCCAAGGTCCTGAAAGAGTTGTCGCCTCCCAGCTGCGCTCTTTGCTCTCCACCCATTCATTATTTGAACCCCTTCAGTCAGTTTCCGTGCTGCCCATAGCACAGAAACTGCCCTGGTCAAGGTCACCAATGACATCCTGACCAT